TGAGGAAGGAGGTGACATGATCTGACCTGCGTTGGAGGAAAATCCCTTTGACAGCTAAATGGAGGATGGATTGGAGTAGGGAGAGACCCGAGGCAGGCAGAGCCACCAGCAGATTGTGGTAGTCCAAGCTTGAGGGCATAAACCTCAGTGGAGTGGGTGGTGGTGTCAAAGGAGAGAAGAAAGGGGAGTATATATACAGGAATGTTGCAAAGGTGAAAATGACAGGCCTTGGCAACAAATTGTGTATGGAAGGACATTTCCTGGAGGTCCAGGGATGAAAAGGACTGAATACCGTACACCTCAACCCACACTTACACACGTGTATATTTGCACACACACATGCTTGAACTCAACATTTATCCAGGTACAAAAGAGTAGAAACAAAATGAGATATTTCTTTTTTTTTCCTGTAAGAAAGAAATTGTTCATAGGAGGCAAGGAGAGTTGGGTAACTACTGAGGCTTCATGAGTTACTCTGAGGGGAGAGAGTGAAGAGAAATATACTTATTCCTTTTTCCTCTTGATCTGGGAACCTGTAAAATAAGATACTTTTCATATGATATGTCAACTTGGATGGGTATATACAGTAGAGTATAGAATACTAAAATGTGTAGACTTTAAGCATTCATCATTCATTCACTAAATGTATACTATCAGAAATAAAAAATGCCATTTCTACTGTCAGTAAATGAATAGAGGAGAGAATAAGAAATCTATCCTTAGTACTTGGAATTTGATTTTCAGTACTTGGAATACTTTTCATTAAAATGGGAGTCTTAAAAGGAACATCTTGATGTTTTGGGGTTTTTTTTGACTCTGTTAATTTAGTCAAATAGCTAAAATTTAAAGGAAAAACTTACTTTTTACTGAGTTCAGATTTTCAACGTACTGTACAGGTATGCTACATTTTAAGAAAATCTGATTTCTAAACAAAAGGATTTTAAATTATAGACTTCATCCTAGAGGCAGTGGGAAATAGGGGAAGTTCCATGGGGGGGGGTTTAGCGACCATTTAGGGTATTGTTGTAGTCAAGGGGAGAGGTAATTTGGAGGCCTGAATTAGAGTAATGGTAGTGTGGGAATGAAGAGAAGGGACGCTGAGCTAGTGGGAATTGACAAGACTTGCTTGGAAGGTGAGTGAGAGAGGAGTATGTCTATTAAGTTGTGTACTGTCTAGGTGATTGAAAGAATGGTGGTTCTCTTTGAGAGAAACAGGGAAATTTGTTAGAGGTTTGGGTTTAGGAGTTTAATTTAGATAAATGTTTTGCAATAAACAAATGAAAAAAAAACCCAGTTATTAAACATTTATTTGTAAAACCTGGCAAGAAAGACAGCCCCAGTCCCTTTCCTCAAGGAATTAACTTAGTGAGTAGGGCAAAATAGTGCTTTTTTCCTCTTTTTTCCTGCTTTTTGGTGAGGCAGTCGAGATTAAATGACTTGCCCAGGGTCACACAGCTAGTAAGTGTCAAGTGTCTGAGGCCAGATTTTAACTCAGGTCCTCCTGACTCCAAGGCCGGAGCTCTAGCCACTGCACCACCCAGCTGCCCCCAAGACAGTGCTCAGAGGAGAGTGAGTAGTCAGGAAGGGCATGTTTTGGTCAGGGAAGCCACTGACTCTGAGTGGTGATTGTTGAGCTAAAGAGAGCACTGAAGGGGCAAGCTCCTGGAGAGAAGGGATGGCTAAAAGGTATTAGGAGATGGGTTGCCATTGGTAAAGAGAAGTGCCCAGCGCATCCTCTGAGCCTGGAGGTCTGCAGAACAGATAGCTCTTTTTGACAGAAAAGACAGAAACTACACACACACACACACACACACACACACACACACACACAAAACTGTACCACTGCTGTGTCTCTTTTGGTGATTGTCATTGTCCTGCCTACCCTGAACATCCTTCATGTTGTCTCCTCTGGAGAAGGAACAGGAGAGAGATGTGCTTTGTGACTTTCTTCTAGAGTTAACTAGTGCTCATTTCACACATGAGAATCCTGAGATGGTGACAACTTGCACAGGGTCACTGATATGAAATGGTAGGAAGTGGAAACATACCCAGGTTCTCTTAACCTTCACCTTTACCTTGAGGCTACAATAGAATAGTTGACACATTCACCAATAAAACCGGAATTGTTCACTAGTATAAACTAGTCCCGAGGCTAGTTAAGTAGGATATTTCAGTAACTAGAATTGGCTTCATCGGGAAATAAGAGATTATTCTTTCATCCCTAGGGGAGAGTCAGGATTTAGCCTTTTCTATCCAGTGCTGGCTGTCAGAGCCAATAGTGGTGATCTCTTTTATTAAGCCACTGATATTATACAATTATAGGAGTTGAATAGAAATGAGTTAATTATCTCATTTTTTGCTGTCCTCCGTGAGAGCCTTTTACAGTTGCCTGTTCAACAGTCCACCATAGGAAGGTATAGCCTTCCTTATGAAAGACTTCAACATTTTTATTCTGTCTTGTTTGCCTGTACATGTATGTGGATTATCAACTTTGTAGACAGTATTTCATCTCGGTCTCATTTTTTATTTTTGGAGGCATTCGGGATTAAGCCTAGGGTCACTTAGCTATTGTGTCTGAGACTGGATTTGAACTCAGATCCTCCTGACTCCAAAGCCACTGCTCTCTCCACTTTGCTACCTAGCTGTCTCTTCATTTGTATTACTCTTACAGTATTCATCTATTTGTACTAATGCTGATTAAATGTTTTACTTTGACTTTTTTTTCTCCTTTTCAATTTTTTTGGAAAGACTTGGTTGATCAGGTTATATATGAACGAAGAGCAGCATAATAAACCCTGGATGTGCTTTCTCCATTGCTTGGCTTAGAGTACCATGGCAAGTGAGAATAGTTTTAGGAGTTCAATTCCTTTGCTGGCCAGTTAGCTTTATTCTTCCACAGCCAGTATTTTAATAATGGCTGTTTAATATTATTATTATTATTATTATTTTGATGTGCTCCTGTTTAAGAAGGTGTGACTGATACTACTGCACCATTCTTTTAAAAAAGTTTTATTGCTTTCTTTTATTTACACATCCCAATATGACCAAGAACCAATTCCTTTTATCTTTGTAAGAAAGAAAAGCAATTAAACATAACTTAAGAATAGAGTTGCCAAGCCTTGTAGCATATATGCATTCTGTACCCATGATAGACCTTTCTAAGGAAGGATGGAGGGTACATTTCCTAATTTCTTCAAGTCAGGGGGATGGTTAGTTACAGTTAATAGCATCACAATTCCTTTTATTATTCTTTTCATTTATGTTATTATAGTTGTATGTATAATTTTCCTGGTTCTCTTTTTATATCAGTTCTTTAAAATCTTCCTATGTTTCTCTCAATATTAATTGTTTACTGCTGTGAAATAGTCTATTCCACTAGTATTATTTGTTCAGCCATTCCCCAGTCAGTTGGTGTCCACTTGGTTTACCTGTGCTACTACAAAAAGTACTGCTGTGGCATTTAAGCTAAATATAAAATATACTTGATAAGTAACAATAATAATAATTAACATTTGGCAATTATTAAGTGCTGAGCCCTTTACAATTATTATCTCAGTTGGGCCTCACAACAGCCTTGGGAAGTAAATATTATTATTCTCATTTTATAGATGTGGAAGCTGAAACAGCAGAGGTTAAGTGACTTAACCAGGGTCACACAGCTAGTACGTGTCTGAAGCTGTGTTTGAACTCATCTTTCTTCTTGTAGACTTAGCACTCTGTCCACTGCACCATCTCAGCTGCTTTTAAAGCCCGGGAGAGCCTTGCTGGTTATCTGTATCATCAGTCTTTGGTCATACATACTAGGCCCTGGCTTTTCTGACGACCCCCAAGGGCCTCTGGTTGACCTCTGGTTCAGTTCTGGTGTGGAAAGAGTCAGTTTTACATTGAATTTCTTGATAATTATTTGGTCTAGTATAAATTTCAGCATTCTTGCTGGAGTGGCTGTATGGGAATTGGGTTAGATTGCCTCCCTCTCAGGCAGCCATCCTGGCAAGATTTCCCCCTGCTTCTTCAAGAGCTCTGTGCTAGAAAAAGTATTGCTTAATATTTCCTACTTGTAAAGCATGTTTAGTGTTAGGATAACATAACAAGTTAGCCTGACACCTGAAAATTAGTCAAGAAATTAGCTTATTTTCATCATAACTATCCATATTGTCAAGTGTCTTTTACTTTATTGCTCTGATGAATATCTTTTAAAATTCTTTCATAATTTCTGTAGTAGAAATTATTGTCCCTTTGTAACTTTAAGCTGTTCTTTACTTTCACCAGAGTGAGCTAGACATAGATAGCAACATCAGATATATTGCTGTTAATAGTTTATGTGAATACAAATTTGTGGGATTTCTAGCAAACAGCTTGGCCTTGATCCTTACCCATAAGAGCTTTATTTTTAACATTACTGGACAGATTGGTTTTGTGGTTTCTCAGTTTGCTTTTCACCTTCTATTAACTTTCCCATCTTGAGATTTCTTTGGTTTCTGTGGTGTACCACTAACTCTGGGGTCTCTGAAATTCATTTACTTAGGCAAGAACTCAATTTCTTTCTGGCAGTCTGGTAGGACTCGGGAAAATTACACTAGGAGTCTTCAAATAGTATCATTCGTGACACCATGTTTTTTATATTATTCTTATTACTGAGAAGAGAGTTTTTTCAGATTTCTAAGAGTAGATTTGTGATCTAGAAGATACATGATGGGGACTCGGAGTGTTACAGATTCTTAGTTTTGGGCAGGATGGCTTTAGGCAATTTCTTCAACCCATTGGTTCCCTTTTATATTAATTCATTGATTTATTTATAATTGTACTTTGATATATTAGGTGGTATTATATATATACCTAGGAGAGTGAAATGCTAATGTTTTCCTATCCTCTGCCATGATGGTGAAACAGCTTTTCTTCAGAAGGAAGCAATATATATGATAACATGGGTTGTGGTGTCAAAGGTACTTTGTTGGACATGGAACACTTACTCATTGTTACATGTTTTCTTTGTTTTCTAGAGTGAAGACAAATCCAGAGAAGAGGGTGAAACTACAGGTATGGATGGGACCGCGATGGAGGTTTTCCTGTTGAATAATCCTCAATAATGCATAGAAAAGCTGCCTTCAGAAAGATGAAGGCATCCCTCTTTTATGTCTTAAAACGCTTGAACGTTTTCTTTTATGCCTTCTATTTAGAAGCATTTTCTTGACCGTTTTTCTCTTTCTTTGAGATAAAACTGCACAGTGCCTGGCATATAGGAAGTGTTATGTTAATGATTATTCTTTCCTTCCTTTCCCAAAAGACCGGAAGCAAAGGGGCCTCTAGCCAGGCATATTATAGAAGTTATTTTTGTTCATCTTACACTGGATAGCTTCTGCAGTTCCCACTTCTGATTGTCAGCCTGGTTCTAGGTGGCTCCAGAGGGCATGACTAGGAGCATTAGTGGGAATTCCCAGAGAGAAACCTAGGTTTCGTGTACAGAAAGCCGCCTGATAAGAGCTGTCCAAAAGGATGTTCCCCAGGGTCAGCTTGCTCCTTTACAGGTCTTCAATCAAAGGCAGAGGACCACAATTCTCAAATTGTAGAGGGGGATTTTATGTATGTTATAGATTGGACTCTCTCTCTGAGATCACCTTTTAAAAACTCAGATTCAATGGATCTTTGTGATCTTTTCATTTCTGACTTTATTTTTAGCTCTGTGATCATCAAGCAGACCCATTGATTCTCCAGTTTTCTTTGTTATAGTTATGTTTTCTAAGATCCTCTTAGTTTCTTGCAAGGTTGTTCCTTAAATTTTTTTCCCCTCAACTTGTTTCTTGTTTATACTTGACTTAAAAGTTGACTTTGTAGATTTCTCTCAATTCTCACCTGGCCTGTTTTTCCTTTTGGAAGAAACAAAAAATGCCTTTTATTTGACCTCTTCTTTTAGCTTTGCTTCGAATTTTATTTGGTCAGTTGCCTCTCTTGGGTGTTTTGTTTTTTTTCTTTCAGTCTTGACAAACACCCATTGAGCTGTTAAATTTTCTCCTAAGGAGCCTTCTGTAAATTGGTTCAACTGTACCTCTCAGTTTTTCCCCATTTCTGCATTTTGTTACTTTCTCTAAGATTGAGTAGCTGGGACAGATATCTCTGATTTTCCTTTTCCTACTGAGATTTTGAATTAATAGACTCTCAAACATTATTGAGGCAGCCAGGGAATAGTGTCTAGAAATCTAGACTTTGGAGGTGGGAAAATCCAGGTTTAAGTCTTGTCTCTAATTCATATTGATGGTTTTACTGGACAAAACACTCTGTGTGTTATAGGTAGGTCTAAGACTGAGTTGCAGAATAGGTGCAAATTTGCATTGGTAGAGAAAGTTTCCTTAGCAAGGATCCCTCTATCAAGGAAATCCCAGGTCTGGCTCTTCTTCCTCTCTTTATGTCGCCTCCAACTCCCTCCCACTTGTGGGGTGCGCGCGCGCGCGCGCGCCCCCCCGCCCATGTGTACAGTATCTGTGCTAGAAAGGGCCTGCTCCAGCCTTCAGTGTTTTACAAGTGAGAGAAATTAAAACTTTGTCTTTTGTATATGCTCACTTCTCTTCTAACACTGCCCGCTAAAATTACCTTCTGCCTGAACTATTTTGTACTCTGCTAGCTGGTCTCTCTGCCTTAAGTCTCTTGCCACTTCAGGCCACCCTCCACCCAGCTTTTAAAGTGATTTGAAAACACAGATCTCACCAAGTCACAACTCTTCCCTCCCCTCCCATCCCTTTCTACCTTACTTTGCCATTTGGTGACCCTGGCCTCCTTGCTGTTCTGAACATAGGACACTCACATCTTCTTGGAGATGCATCCTCACTGGCTATGCCCCAGGCCTGGAATTCTCTCCCTCCTCATCTCCAACTCTGGGTCTCCCTGGCTTCCTTCAAGTCCCAGTAAAATCCCACCTTGGACAAGAAGCTTTTTTGATCCTCCTTTATGCTTCCCTTGGGTGACTGTCTCCAGTTTCTCCTGTATGGAACTTATTTTTACTTATCTGTTTGCACCTTGCCACCTCCTTTGGGCTGTGAGCTCCTTGAGAATAGTCTTTCTCTGTGTCCCTAACTCTTAGCACAGTGTCTGGCACAGAGTAGACATTTAATAATGATTACTGCCTAAGCAGGATTCATGATCCAGTTCTCTTTATTCTCAATCCAATTCTCTTTATGTTATGTGATGCTGAATATAATAAGCAACATTTATGTAGCATATTAAGGTTTGCACAGTATTTTGTGCGTTTTATCTCTTTGATCTGTGCCACAACCATATGTGAAGTAGTGCTTATTACATTACATTAGAGATGGGGAACCTGGGGGCTGAGATAGGTTAAGTGACTTGCCCAGAGTCATAAAATCAGTAAATGACTGAATGAAGCAGGATTTGAATTCAAGTCCGTTATTCCTTCCATTATACCCTAGTGCCTTCCATTTTAATTTTCTTATTAAAATTTTATTGTGAGAGAAAGATTTTTTGGTAAACAATGAAGTGCTTTGATATTCACTATTACTGTTACACTATTACACTGTTCACTATTACAACTGGTACCCAGCTTATTCACAAAGAAAAGTTATATTTTATAAAATATTTTTCTTGTAGTGTGATTTAACAGTGCAAGTTCACATCTCTTTAAGTGCCTTCAACTTGACAACATACTTTCCTTAAAATAGCCCCAGTAAAACTTGTTTATTTTTGAAATAATTTATGCAGTTTGGTTTCTTATTGCAGAATATCACTTGTTTTCAAAATCTCCCTTTCCTGCTCTTTTTTTCCTATAAACCTTATGTTGTAACAAATATTAAAAAAGAGAAAATAAATAGCAAAACCAAGTTAAAGCAGCCACACATTAACAGGGTCTCAAAAGCAGTGTATCATTTCATATTCGTTGTCTTGTACCTTTGCTGTGGAAGGAGGCAGGTGCCTTTTCTCAACTCGGGCATTTTGTTTCTTTTTATCATTTTATTTACATTGCTGTAGTCATTGTGGGCATCATTTTCTTGGTTCTGCTTATTTCATTCTGTATTGGTGCTTATCAATCTTGTCATACTTTTTCACTTGTTCATATTTCTGTGAACAGTTATAGTTCTCTTATGTAATTATGCACCAGCATTTCATTACATTGATGTAACACAATTTGTTTATCCATCTTCCACTTGAATGGCATCCACGTTGTTTCAGTTGTCTACTACTACAAAAGGGCTGCTGTGAATATTTTGAGATAAATGAGAACTTTGTATCTTTCAGCTTCTCATGTTCTGTACCTGTGATCTTTGACTTCTCTCCCTCCCTCCCTTCCTGTATTTCCATTTGTTTTTTAAAATGGTCAGACCAATTTATTGTTCCACCAGCAGGTTGCCAGTGTGACTGTCCTCACAGAACCTCCCCAGTATTGACGGTCCACGTCTCTGTACATTTCTGGCAAGTTGTTGGGTGGGGAGTTTGATTTCTCTTTCTCTTTTTAGGGATGATTTGGAGCAGTCTTTCTTTTTTTTATTTTTTGGTTGGGCAATGGGGGGGTTAAGTGACTTGTCCAGGGTCACACAGCTAGTAAGTGTTATGTGTCTGAGTCCGGATTTGAACTCAGGTCTTCCTGAATCCAGGGCTCTATCCACCACGCCGCCTAGCTGCCCCTGGAGCAGTCTTTTAGTGGTGGTTGATGTTAGCAGTTCTTTTGAGAACTGTTTTTTTCATATCATCTTACCACTTCTCCATTAGGGAATAGAGTGCCTTGGTTTCACATATTTCTGTTAAGGGTAATATTCTATGTATTTTAATATCAAACCCTTATCAAAGATAAGGTCATAGTGTATCTTAGGTACATTTTGTGGTGCTTTGCCCGCAGTTCTTAGAAATGGGGATTTATTTCCTAAATAGTTTATTAAACATTGTTGTGCTCAGCTGTTTATGATCCTAGCATGTAAGGCTTAGGTTTTAAAAGCCGTATAGTATTTTTATAGTAATAAATGAATTTTAATAGCAGGATCAAAGTTGCCCCGTGGACAGTTAATTTTAGAAAGTTTAATATAGTTAGTGTGGAATTAAGCCAAGGTTTAAGCATGTAACATTTGCCACATTAATTTTCATAACGTATATATATAAGGGAAAGCTTTCTGATTCATGTAACAGTGTTTATTCTTGCACGCTTGCTGCTGATCCTGAGTTATTTGGCATTTGGATGATTACTTTTTCAACAGTATTTTCTTGTTGGCTTTACTAATAAGTGGAACGAAAGAACTCTGTGTAGAAGGGGCCCAGCATTGCTCTTTGTAGAAAGGAAACCGGGGCAAAAAGAAGTAATTTGATCAGTATGATACTAGGTGAAAATAGGGTTTATCAAAGGCTGCTGTCTCACAGACAGAAGTCTTAAGGTGTGCGTAGGGGAAGGGTGCAAAGAACTTCGCTTTATGGTTCTAACTTGCTCCTGATCAGCTATGGTCATGATCAGAGCAGCTGTTAGGATGTAGCATTAATGCTCCTTTTTCTAAACAATTTCCAAATAGTGAGCCAGAAAGCTCTAGAAATTCCCCCCTCCCCCAACAATAAAACAAACCAAACACAAATTAGAGTTGTTACTTTGTCTCCCAGTTTGTATCAGGACTAACTGAAGAGTAAACAGTTATTAGATCTTCCTAGGTCAACTCCCACCTTTCACTTTTATGAGGTCAGCCTCATACTTTTAAAGCAACCCCAAATCCTTGAAGGTTTCCCATTTTTCCTCTTAAGGCAGAATGAAAAGGGCTTTGTTAGAAATCCAGAGTGAAAAGCGGTGTGTTTTACACAGCTCAGAGATAGAGGTAAGAGGCAAAGCAGTACTGGCTGTAGAGCGTGCAATCAAGGGAACCTTAAGGGAAAAGTAGAAAGGAGCCCACAAAGTTCTCAGAACGGCCTGGCCTCTTAGTTGGTGTCGTCTTAAGTCACTGCCTAAACGTTGAAGTCCTTTGTTGCTCAGAGGACCATAGAACAGAAACAGGAACATCACATCTGCCTGATATTTATCTCTGCTGCTGATCCATGTTAGAATTTTTATGTGTGGGTTCTAC